AATTTTAATAAATTACTTAAAATACAAAGTAATCTTATCCAATTCTAATTTTGCGTTACATCAGTCAAATAAATAAAAGATAAAATTAACAAGAACGTTTTATTTTGTTGATATTATTAAATTATGTTTTAATAATAATATAACACATTTAGTATAAAATTTTCCTCGATAATTTGCGATCAATAAACTAGAACGTAGCTCTGTAAAATCTTGGGGTTCCTGTCAGAAACCAGGAAAAGTCGTCAATTACAAAAAATCTCAAAACAAACAATAGAATTATTACTAAAATTCATCGCATCTACTACATTATTGAGTGATAAATATTAACAATAGAAATAAAGCAACAGCTATATTGATATCAAGACTAAATGTCTAAATAATAATTCTTGTTTCAAATGTGAGAAGTATCGTGCGAGATAAAGGCACTTCGGATTTACAAATATCTCTGGTACGCGATGTTATTAATATTGAATGTGCAATATATGGGAAGGGCAAAGTTCTTCCTGGTGATTTAAAATTTGTCCTCGATAGGGCCGAATCCAGTCGAGGGAATTTCTCAATAAACCCTCCGACCTCTCTTCCGGCGGTCCGCCTGGGTCCGCCCGACCTAGTTTTCCCCGGGCAATGACGTCGGTGTGACGTCACGGGGGCGCAAACTAGGTCGTGGGGTCGAAGCACCCCATCGACTTCCCGCGGATACTTGCCCCCTTGCTCGGTCGCCCGATTCATTGAAAAAAAGGAGCGGGATTAAAATGGTTACTGCCGTCGAAGCCGGACGTCCTTGTATGTCCGTCCATTTGTCGCGCATTTAACTGTGATTCGTCCTTTGTAGGAAAGAAAAGCGACACGTCAACTTTAACAAATTTTATAATTCTGTAGAGAAGGTGAGAGGTAAATATTAAATTTTGCACGAAATATTAATATTTAATTAAAATAAGTAAATATTAAAATTTGTATTGATATTAAACGGTTCAAATATCAGAATCAGAAAGATTTAAGACTTTTGGTATAATATTATAAATTGAAAAAAATGCATAGACTTCGAAAAGCACCATGCAATTTTATTCTCTCAGAAAGTAAAAAGTTTCAATTTCGCAGCTACATGATATTCGATGGCGTAAATAACTCAAATATCAAAAGAATCAAAGGACATAAGATTTTTTGACATTGTAATGCTATATTTTAAGAATGTATGGATCTCGAGAAACGTTACGGGAACAATGCGTTTGGAAAGATCGATCCCAAATTTGCTGCAAAATCCCTTAGTAAAAGATGATTTGCTAGATCCAACATATTTTGTATAAAGCCCGCACGATGTCTTCGGCTTTATGATACAGGCGATAGGTAAGTATTATCTATTATTCTCCGGCGTGTTAAATTGTGGTATTGACCGGTCACTATGGCTACCATGAAAGATATCACCGTGAAAGCATACCCACACATATTCCACGAGATTCTACGGAAATTTCCCCAATGTAAGAAAAGCCCCCGCGGTAATAGACAAACTCGTTTATTTATTTAGCAAAATTCTGCGAACCGCGAATTTCACGGGTGTGAACTATTTGGTTTGTATGTACCTTACAGCGGTGTGCTCGCGACCTCATTTAATTCGCGCAAATGCACAGCAATCGTCAAGCTTGCGTAATATTCGTCGAAATTTAGACGTTTGCGACGCAATATCATAGACGAATCTGGATTGTATCATAAAATAAAATTCTATGAAATGCCACGAGTACGTTTACATAAATAAAAAAATAAAATCTACTAGAGACATTGGAGTGTTGTTAAAATATTCAAGCTGTATTTAAAATATTGAAATACATCAGCATATTGACGTTTTGTTTATCTTTCTCAACGGTATCTATGATTTTTGCAAACTCAATGTTGCGTGCGCAATTTGAATTCTAGGATAATAATAATGAAGGATTCGCAGCTTAATGTCTAAAATATAAATAAAAAAGTCCATTTTACATATCATCAGGCAGAAAGTATGTGAAATTTTCCCGATCCTATTGAAAGCAAGCGTCATCATTCTTCTGCATTCTATCATGCCTTGTCGGTTCGCTCTAATGAATCTGCGTCGCGATCCTGCGACAATCTACAGGATCGCGAGAATAGCATACGATCAGCTTGGTGCATTTACGCGCGTTTTTCATCAGTTGTCAATCGATAACAGGGGCATTCGAGTGCCCCTGCGTGCACCTCGATCCCCCCCCTCCAATCCCTTCTCCTCGTCAAGTCCGGTCCTTCGTCGAGGATGGTTTGACGCGCGACGACAGCCTCCTGTTTCAGCCGCGAGGACGACTGTAGGAAGAACGAAGAGAGAGGATAACGCGCCGCAAGGAAAAGGAAGAATCGTGTTGAGACTGGAGGATACGTGAGGGGACGGCGGCGTCGACGGTTTGGCGCACGTGTATATATATATATGTATATCTATGCGTGTATGGTGGCGGAGAAGGCGAAGGGTGAGAGCGCCGGCCGATGGGATGAGGGGCAGGTCGGTGACGGTTATTTTTGGAATGTGGGTCACCCATAAACCCCGGCTTGTCCCGTGACGTCACGGGATCGTCGTCGTGGCAACAGGGACGCCGGGTCAACTACCTCCGGTTCAGAAGTACAGCCCTTCCCCCCCCCCCCCCACGCGATCCTCTCGAGCGCACCACACGTTTCAACCTCGCCGTCCCACTCTCCAGGGACTCTACCTGCGACCCCCTCTGACAAGAGGGAATAGGTTAGAGGTTACGGCACCGGGGTGGTGCACGCATCAAGAGAACCGTCTGTCTCTCACTCTCTGCCCCGTTTCCCAACCCACCCCCTTCATCGTCCATTCTTTCTGCATGCGCGTATATCTGTCTTTTTGCACGCGCCAGTTGCGCGGGATTTAGGCTCTAATATCAGAGGTGAGCGTCAAGGAGGACGATTACACAGAGCTGATTGAACAGCGCATCGACAGTGTATATAATTACGATCGTGATATTAAGCGCTCGAATCACGACCGACGCGGGTATCGTCGAGATAAGGTTGCGAGAACGTTTATTTATACGCGGTTGCACGTTATTTTGGAAGTGTCCTCTCCGAGAAAATTCGAGAACGTTGACCTTGATATTTCGGAGAGAGAGCATTGAGGATGAAGCGGGTCTTGTAAAATTAATTTCCTCTAGAATTTTTCGTTCAAAAATAGCTGCATGGAACTGCAATACTCTGTGCGTGTTGATAAATCTGCAGTATACGCAGTGCAACATGCAATCTTTATCAGACTGTCCGCATTACTGCGACATGCTCGTATGCACGCTGTATACGAATGTAGCACGGTCTTTATGTCAGCGAAAGCCCGTAACTCTTTCGTCGTTCTCGCCATCTTTTCGGTTGTGCAGCATACACGTTGCACGCTTTATCCACTACAACTTTGCAGAAAGCTGTATTATCCGCCCCCACTAAACCGTCTGACCAGATATCAGCATGCACTACGTGTCCGTCCGTGCGCGTTTGTTCTACTTGTCATTTTAATCTTCGTAACGATGATATTTATTTGTGCGTGCAATTATAGCATGTAATACTTATTTATGTTGATAAAAAATCCTTTATAATAAATTCTATATTAAAAAACATCAATATGCGCACGAAATGTTACCGATAATAAAGTTCACCGTAGATATGTTACCAATATTAACTGTGCGACGTAATATCGACATGTACCATGTGTCTGACTCACCGGGCTTGTTCTACTTGATCTTCCGCTCCCTGCTTTCGGGATAAAATAATTATATTTTATTCGTTAATGTTTCTAATAATTTTTTATCCCAAAATTTCTCTCTAATCTAGAAAATAATTTTGATATTTTTAAATTAATTTTGAAAATCCAAAAATATAGTAAACAAATATAAATAATAAATAAATAAAATAGCGCAACTCTCTCATTGTGCTTTTGATTAGTGTATAAATGTTCTTATAATTTATTCACGTGAGCAAATATAGCTATTTACTATTATCATCAATATAATGATATTGATGATAATAGTATTTTCGCGCATAACACAAATATCATTGAATAATAGTTCATATGTAACCGGACGCTATTAATGTTCAAATAATCATTATACATAAATGGCATTAAAATGGATTATATGCCGATATCTATAAAGGCAGCGTTAGACCAACATTAGCACCGATACTTTGTATGTAATTAATGTTACGGGAATGAGTCATGTTTGGCAGCTTTTAGATAGAGAATGTTTCACGAGTCCTTCATATATAGCACACACGCAACTTCTGCTTTCGGGCCAAGAGCTTCATTGAAATACGACGATGACATTACGCCGATACGATTGTATTACGTTGGAGCGTGTCGACGTTTCCGTCACCGTTACCGCGTTTAGTGCCAAACAGCTGCAAGCGCGAGAAATTCAGATGGTGCCGATAATATCTCAGTTTTCCTCCACGGAGCTGCGAACGGGACATTAATAATTTTTAACAGATTCAAGGCATATATAGCAAGACTAAAATAATTGTCGCATTAATAGAAATAAATATATCATGCGTATTTATAAATCTTGTAAACATGCTAATATATTATTTTCTATATTCAGTATAAATAAATGTTTCCTTGAAGTTACATCTATGTGTTAAGAAAAATTTGCCTTTGCACAGATGTGTAAAGAGAAATCGGTGTCATCGCTTTACGAATAGATGGGCTATCAAAAATTACTTTGTTTCGAAATTTCACTGATGATAGTACACGATCAAATATTGTTCTTTGATAACCGCGGCGTAATTAGCGGTGTGCCAGGGCGAACAAAGTTCAAGATTGCCTCGTTCTCGTCTCATAACAGCGATGGTGATACGGTAAGTTAGATCAGAAGAAGACGAGAAGACGAGCGAGCTTAGCGAGCTTTAGCGACGTACCAAGCGGACCCGGCTCCGTTTTCAGTTTCCGATTATTTTTGGCAGCAAGCAGAGCGGGCAGAGCTCTCGCCTAAAAATGCTTATGACCAATAGAGTGCCGCCATTGGTCGTGCCGTGCCACGTGAACGGCCTACGGTGGAGGTCTACGAAGTCGACTAAGTAACCACGATGGCACAGTCAGCTGCCTAAGGTCCGGTTGGCCAGTCGCAGCCAGCGAGCTTTCTCCACAAGGTAAGCCCATCTCCTGCGGTCTCCGCGGTTCTCCGTTGTCCTCGCCGTTATCGCGAGAGTGTCCTGGAAAATGTCGACCGTCCCGCGTTCTCCAGGGTTGGACCTGAAAAATCATCGGATAAGAGACAGAAAGATGGAAGACTCGCGATCTTTTCAAAGAGTGAGTCTTTGCTCTCGAAAGGCTTCGATGTTCGGGAAGAACCTCGTTGAGAAGTTTTTACATTCTATCGAGTGTCAGTGAGACGAGTGGCTGCACGAGAGATACTTTTCAAGGATGTGACGGTTAATCCGCACAAGCATCCCGAGATAGTGACGGATCGGCGATCATCGACGAGCAATCGATCGTTTCGAAAGTGATGCAAAGTTTTGAAAGTGATGGACGACTTCTTCCGTTGATCGATCCAAATCGATGATTCCAGGCGTTTTCGGCAGATTTGTGCGCATTGATTGTAGATTTTTTTTTCATTACTTTCCTTATTACATTTCAATTTTTAGAAAAAAAGTTGTAGAAATTGATCTCCATCAATAATAATGTTGAAATTTATGTCAAATTTTTACGTCAATCTTTACTTGTCAGTTGCGAATTTTTTAATTAAAAAAATTGTGTTATATCCTCGTTTTTGCATAACAAAGTACACGTAAAATACAGTTTCTTTTAAGCGATCGCCCTTTTTGAAGTGTCTTGCATAGTTTAATGAGATTTAGCAAGTTGTCTATTTTTACGGTGCGGTTTGCCTCTTTGACATCGGAGACGGCACACGCCTCTGAAAGTTTCGATGTGGTAGGACGTGTCTTAGAATGGTGCGAGCAAGAGGAAATCTATACTTAGCGAAGGCGATCGCCCGTTAAAAATATAAAAGGAGTCGCTGCAGCATGTCGTACAAACGATTAATGATCGAACGGATAAAAATTTGATTAACACAGTTTTCATAAAGTTTCGATTCATCACAATATCTTACCAATATTAACAAATAATTATGTCAACGTATTTCATATTTATTTCGTATTAATAAGTATATCAACGTTATTCATGGTGCAAGAAACAGGATTTTAAAATTATATTCCAATTATATTCAATCTCTTTTTGCAGCAATTATAGAACACTAAAATGTGCAGAAATTTAAATAAAGAACATAATATATAAAAAATAATTATTAATATTTAGAGAAATATTTAAAAAAATATATATTATAATTCGTAGAAAACATTGCTGACTAAGCATTTATCAACAATTTTTATATTCCCAAGTTACTCAATTATACTGTACATTATTTGAATTTTAACTTTAATTAATAATTAATAATCAATAATTATTAATTATTAATTATTAATTATTAATTATTAATTAATAATATTAAAGTCATTCTTAATTAATTAATTAATAATTGTAATTAATAATTATTAAAGATAAATGATTATTTTATGCAATAATAAAACAGAAAAGGAAGGAAGAGAGATTCATAAAGAATTTATGTATACACGCGCAGCATGGTACTAATGGCATCTTGTTCTACCATTGTCGGGCGTTTGTTACAAACGTTACGCTATATTTTGCCTGTATCTTGTAACTGTAATGCTTCTAAGTATTTTCGGAATGCGAAATGTCGCTGTAGAGACAAGTACAATCTATCTTCTTGAATGTTTCGGAGCTGCGACAACGAGCTCGTCGTTGGCCGCGGTGCAAGTGCCGCTAAATGCGCAATTGTTATCTCCGTAACCGAATTGCACAATTTCGGTTGCGCGCACAGAAGTTTACCTATATAAGTTATCTGTTTTGAAACTTTGTTGTCTCCCGCTTTGTGCCTGGCGGAAAGCGAGCTGATATTCCACATTGCGCGGTCTCGGACTAATAACAGGAATCGTGCGTCGCGTTGATACGCGCGATATTCTCCCTCAGCTGTAACGCGGATCTGTTTCGAATAAAATGTCATAGCGTAAATAACGCGACAGGTTGACGCGTATATATTCGTCGGCGAAAGCTTCTCTCGCGCAGCAGCGCGGCGTGCGCGATTTTGTTTATCCGTTCGTCTCGCCGTTTCGACATCGAATCTAGTTGAATCCGCCGACGATGGGATATACCGGATCGTTGCATCCAAATTTGGATCGCCGACGTACTCCAACGTCTCGACGACGCGCGGCGCGGAAAGTGGAGGGGGGGACGGCCGGCGTCTATTTTCGCGCGCCGGATATTCTACACCGTCGTCGCGCGCACACGTTCGCGCTTGATGCGTTAGGCGGTGAAATCCACGCACGTAACGACGTGATTTATCGACTCCGCGAGGGCGAATTGATCGTATTTATCGAGAAAGATAGACGTGGTGACGATAAATTTTCGTCAGACCCCGCTCTATATTATTTCAGTCGCACGCAGCGTGAACGCGATTACGCGGACATCCGCGAGAGTTTACATCTAACATTGACGTCATTCCGTCATTATTTTCGTCCGCTCCATTTGTAACTGGCGCGTGTATTACAAAAGCGTGAAAGCGTCTCTACGTATGTTAACAAGCAAATATGCATATGCAAAAACTTCATATATAGCTCCCGCGCAACCTTGTACCGCGCACTGTGGTTTGCAGGCGCGTTTATTGCGCTTGCTTATGCACGCCCCTATTTATTTTAACGAGCAGGGTGCCGATGGTACGCGCTATTAATAGCGTGTACGCCGGTATGCCGAGAGATTTTCATCACTGTATGTGCATGCCAATAAAAAATGTATCCTTCTGCGACTTTTTCTAGGTAGACGCGTGTAACAAGCAGCCACCACCATGGCGGACGATGAGGTCAGGTGTGTATTCTACTCCGGATTCTTTTTTAATATGCGCCTCTTGTTCTTATTATTTAAAAGAGCTTATTATTTAAAAAAGCAACGGTCGAGAGGGAACCACAGCAGTTTCCGCGAAACCGCATACCGGATAGTCCTTAACATTACATTTTCTTTTCCATATTGCATCATTCGTGAATACGTTTTACGACGTTGCTGACCTTCAAACTTGGACGGGAAACGCCGAAACATCTACGCGTCCTACTGTTGACCCGCGCAGTAAAATTAGCATTACTATTGAAAGGTATGCATCGTTTGTGCTTTTTGTGATTCTGTGAGAGACCGCTAGCATAAACCGTAGTTTTAGCAAAAAAAAAAAAAAATAGTATAGATCTTGTCAATAAAAATAGAATAATGAGATTCTATTGAATGTTCTATCCTTTGATTTGAGTTATCGAAAAGTGTATTTGATTCACTTCAATCGCAGCAAATATTTAAAATTAATTTATTAATTTCACAATTTTTAAATTATTTTAATAAATCAAAATTGAAATTATATCAAACTGCAGTTTTATGTAATGTAATAATATTCCAACGTAAAAAATTCAGTATCAAATACACGTTTCAATGAATAAATCATTTTCCTACAACGTTATACTTCTACGGTATCAAGCTTTTATGTGCAAAGCTCCGACCGTCGAGGGCTCGAACAGACCGAGCCTCGTTTTTTCTCCCACAGTGGCATTTTCAAGCAGCTTATAGTAGCAGATATAGATGGTGGTCAAGGATGAACCACACAGTTTGTGCGCCCTGAAAAAGATTTATATGCTACGTAGAATGACGAGGCGATCATAGAAGCTCGCTCCTCGTTACGATTATCCTTCGTTCTGCCTTTCTTTCGCGCAAGAAACCTTCCACGATGTAGCACGGCACTCCCTTCCTCCTCCTCCTCCTCCTCCTTCTCCTCCTCCTCCAATATCCTACTTGATCGTTTCACTCTCCGCCCTTCTTTCATTTTTCATCGGTAGCTTAGCACAAATTTTATTTCTAATATCGCGGGTCGCATTTCGCGCGTTGAAACAAACTTCTTGAAAAATCTTGAAAAGAAATTTTAGTTCCATAATTTTAGTGACAGCTATATTCAAGTTCTTAAATAAGCAATAGATCTTCCATAAAGTTCTTTATCTTGATGATTACGTCATCATTCCTGCGTAATGTCCACCTTGCGGACGACAATTCTTCGTTTACGCGATGGGATAGAGTTTTCCTTCGTCTAATGAAGCCAATTTGCGCGTCGTGAACCACAAATGTAAAAGTTAATGAAGGTTTTTGGTCTCGCGCGGCGGAGAATATATATTCCGCGAATTTCACCGTAAAATTTCCGCTCTGCAGAAACGGGAAATGGAACTGGTCGTATTACGACCGACATGTCCGTTGTCTCCGTTATATGCTCCGCGACCCGACTTTTTGCCTGATTTATCGTCACACTCTCGTCCTTATTTCGGCATTATTTAACGCGCTCCTCGTCGCGGATCTCTTCTCCTTACTTTATGTCTGCTCTTTCTTGCCATTCGAGCGAGCTATTTGTCACTCGCGTTATCCTTAGAAGAACAAAATCTTTCCAGATTTTCAATTGCAGATTCACGTCCGGAAAGATTCGTTTTCTCCTTGATTTGTCGATCTCCGTAGTAATTTATATCTCATTTTGTATTTTACCGCTGCCGTCTTTTTTCCTGTCTTTCCAGCTCGATCTTCCGTTTTTCTTCCGCCTTTCCCGGGCCATATTCGTAAAACGGTCTATCCTTTCATCGTGATTCGAATCCTTTCGCTCACGATGGCACGAAGAAGTTTTGTCTTTGAGACGCGAAAATACTTGATATTTGTCAGTGTACATTGTGAAGTGAAACTCGGCGCGAGTGCACTCAATAGAAATGTCATCTATCGAAGATCGGTTAGAAAACTTCCATTTACTGATTAAAACTGTTATATGAACACAGCGTCGCAGGTTCGTTTATTCGAAGTCGCAAAGCGCTGGCTTCAAAATGTGGACGCGGAAAACGTTTCGCTTACACAAACTTTCTATTGATAATTACGAAGTTAGCATTATACTGTATCACTTCAAGTGTAAAGTTCGAGTTATTTCAGTTTCATCGTTGTTTAAACTGTGTAGAATGCTACAAGTTCCTAACAACCGCGTCTTCAAAAATAAAGATAATAAAAGGCGCGACAAATTCAGAAAAAGACGTTTTGTAATTTTAACGATTTTAACAGTTTTAAATATCAAGTCATTACTATTCATATAATATTATAAAATATTTATTAACTTGATTAATTAATACTACTCGTTAAGTAATTTATTACGTCACCGTGAGCGAAGATCCAACAGCTCCCTCGTGAATGTACTTTTGCTTTTTCTTCAATTAAAGTTAATTGGAGAACCATCGTAGTTAAAAGTAGAACTCTCAAGAACGAGCATCATAGACAAATGTATAAAGCAATCAGACAGACTTGGGGTAAAGTAGATACAAAACTCGTGTAAAGAATGATTTCTGCCTTTCAGCGTGGAACGCCCTTTGTAACGTCGCATACCCTTATAATGCTTTATTTTCCTCTCATTATAAATGTATTAGTGTGTAATGTTTCTTATTTAACAACACACATGCAGTTTCGCAGCGTGCGCCACGCTTTACATTTTTATCGAGTAAAAAAAAGCTTTAAAAATGCAAATAATTTTTTTTTGTTATAATCATTTTTCGCGATGCGTGGTCGTCAATTATTAATAGCGACACAGCCGCGCTGTTGCCCAACGACGTTTCTCGCGATGTCAAGGTTTAAAGTCGTGCTATAAAAATTCGTTGCTTCAGCGCGACCACAAATATTATTTTTATCATCGATTTTGTCGGTCGTTTGAAATCTGCGCAGCTTACAGAGGATGCAGAGCTAACGGCCGGCCGGAGTGCGCGCGTAACGTCATAAGCGGGACACAGCAGTTTGGCGTAAAACGATATTACAAGATGCTCGCTCCGGACATTGTGTTGTAGCGCTTAACGGCGACAAAGTTATATCACTTAAGACAGACTCCATTAGCTCTGCATTGCTATGAAACACGTGAAAACATGGTCGCTACGCTAATGCTTTGTAAGGTATTACTTGATGGCGAAATCTGGAACACTAGAGACGTAATCTCTCCTTCGCCGTCTCTCTTGTCCGCCTCCTCTTCCATTGCCGTTGAGAAATATCCTTTTACATAGTCGAAAGGATCGCGCTGTAAAAAGTGTTTCAGGTATCGCGTACATGCGACCGAGGACACAGAGCGTACTAACGAGAAATTTTCTCTCTCTCTTTTGCAGAGGAAGCGCATCGAGGATGTACGTAAGAGAGGAAACTAGCTATGAACGTAGAGTCGTTTCTTAAAAGACGACCACTTACCAGGCGGATGAAAGGAATCCTTTCGTCGGAACAGAGAACTTACGCGCATTTTATTACAGAACGGAATTCAAATATACTTTTAATTAATTATATTAATTTTGCGAAAGAAATCAAAAACAGCGGTAATATTTTTTCATGCAGAATAGAAATATGTAATCAGTCTGCCTAGTTTTTTTACGTTTACATTTTTATATGCTAGAGAATGAAAAATTTTACTAACAGTAGTATAAGATAAGGCAACATTCTTTATAATGCTAGAATTAATATCCCAGTAGAGTTATTGTTCTTTTTTAAATTTTTATTTAGAAAAATTGATACCGTAGCAACTGTTTTTTTTTCTTTTTTTTTTTTGTAAATGCAGCTGTTTCAATTTAAGACTCGCGGAAAAAGTTTAGTTCAAAAAGCAGAAGAACGGGAGTGCGAAAAATGTTAGATGAGTTTGTATTGCGCAACACTTTTCGAATTCGCGTTGCACCTCCGCGAGGCGCTTCGGGGCTTTTTCAGATGAGATGTTTTAAGGGAGTTTCGCCCGAAAAATGTAGGAAAAGAAGAGGAAACAGGCGGAGACCGAGAGGAAGAGGGCGGAGGTCCGCGCCCGCCTCGAAGAGGCTTCCAAAGCCAAGAAGGCGAAGAAGGGTTTCATGACCCCCGACAGGAAGAAGAAGCTTAGGGTAAGTCTATGGACGGCTTTTTACTTCTTTCTCTTCGAAATTTCGTCGCGCGACGACACGGAAGTTTTCGAACTCTCGCGGGATATCCTCTTTAAAAACCCCGTTTGCGGTAAGTCGCGCGAATCCTTCGTCATATTTCACTTTACCGTTAAACGAAACAGTATTCTCCGCGTTAATTCAACGCCGCGTTACTTTTTTCAAAAGTACGTTTCATGTTACATCAATACTTTTGCCATCAGGCATTCATTATCGATATAACCAAGTCGAGCTTCCCGTTTTCGATTTACCTTATTGCTTCATCGCATGCCATAATCCTCCCCCGGCCGCTGCACGAGCCTCCGAATAATATCGCGGTAATCCTCTTTGCCTCCTTTGTGCCGAATCTCTCGCGAAATATTTCCCGCAACGGCCACATCCAATTCTCTATTACTTTCTCTTATTCTCCTCGCTCCCCTCGTCGTCCCGGCGTTCTGTTTTCCAGCCGCCGCCGCCGCCACCGCCGCCGCCGCCGCCGCTGCGGAGCGTCCGAGACTTTCCCAACTTTATCTCGCCTTTTTATCTTTACTTTATGGACCCGTCTCACGGTCGCCACTCTGTTTCCATCGTCGCGCAGCATTCTCCAGAACATCCACGCGCCTCTCCGTCCCCGCTGCCCCTCTTCATGCACCGTCGCAAACGTTCGCAGTTGCAGTACATAAAGTTTCCCGTGTGTATATGCAGATTACCTCTTGGAGAATCTTTCCGCGTTTGCCGGTCCAGCGGAATGTTATTTTCCCGTAAATCCACCTTCTTTCCTTCCGCTATGTCAATATTTGTGATCCACCGAATTCTAAACGACGTTATTTCGCCCGCTGACCGGAAGAGAGAGGCGTTAGCCGCGGGCTTAAATTATTATTTCATGAGTAAGCGATGGAGATATTGTTTCCTTGAGTCAAACGTCGTAATTATTCTTCTCTCCGTTAACGTTAATGAATCGATAAATACTGGCGCTGACGAGTTTTCAATAAATATGTTGTTACATTTATAGATGACATTAGCTCGTATTAATTCATTTCCATTTGGCCTTTCCTCTGTTGTTATATGACGCATATTTATAGAGTTACAAGAGTTAATTGCACGTATAATATTGCATTCAAGTATATTTATTTTAATAGTTATTTAAACATATAATTAATCAAGCGTATAATGGCCGATTTTATATTTATTAAATTAGATTAAGCACAATAATAATATAATCCGCATCATCGCGTGCAATTTAAATTGTTCATACAGTTTGTAGCAGTAGGCTACTGGTGTTCCGGACTTAAATTTAAATTTCCATTTAAATTACGTCAATTTCATGCCATTAGAAACCGATTCGTCGGCAAATCGCGTAAATACATTGTGCGGAACTTTTCTCGCTTGCTTACGAAATGTTTTTCCTTCCTGTCGCAAATCTCACGAATCTGTCGTATATCTACAGTTGCTGTTGCGTAAGAAAGCTGCCGAGGAATTGAAAAAGGAGCAGGAAAGAAAAGCAGCCGAGAGGAGGCGTATAATCGAGGAACGCTGCGGAAAGCCGAAGAATGTCGATGACGCCAATGAAGGTACTTTGCTTCGTTACGTAATCTTACAAGAAACTATCGCGCGCGCGAGAGTCGTGTTTAGGCCAAATATATTCGGCAAAGTATAGTTCGTCTACTTCTCCCTGAGCTATAAATTCCAACAGTAAACTATTTTACCACATCTCAATATTAATTTCGGTTAGCGACGAGGATTATTATACAGGAACAATGCATTCAAAAAATTGATATAATATCAATTAATCAACATTTTGAACAATTTTTGGGAATTTCTTACATCTGTGTTATAGTCTGTCTTTCATCGAGCAAACGTAAAGTTGCATCTATCTAGAAAAAATTTTCTTCAGCGCAGTAATTGATCGTTCGCAATATTCATCTTTAGTTACACAGGCCGGAATTTTGTTTAGCCTTATTGCATTTCTCGTCGTGTTTCATCAATTTCTTTGCAGATTGCTGTTTACTCAATTTTCTTTTCCGAGATAGAAAACGCGTCAAAGGTACAGTAATTGGTACGCGATTTTCAAGATTAGACTCTTATAATGCAAGGGTTCTCAAAATATTCTCGAATTCCCCGGCAAAGAAACTCGATAGAGCACAAATATACATTTTCAGACGATCCGAACGCGTGAATCGCACGTGCGCGTTTTCATTTTGTTTTACATATTTATTTATTTCTGATGGGCTACACAGATACCATAAAGCGCGTGCTGCGCGAGTACCACAATAGGATCACGGCATTGGAGGATAAAAAATTTGACATCGAGTATGTTGTTAAGAAGAAGGATTTCGAGGTACTTTTTGAGAGAGCAACAGTTGCGAGAACGTTTACGCGACGTGCAGAATAATAACGCGGCACTCACACGACACTGTAACGATACTCAATGTTGTTGCACTTGTGTAACGCACCAATCTCCGCCCGGTTGCATATTCGCGCATGATGACGATGAACATAATTAGTTTTGGCAGAGAGGCCGGCATCGCGGGATTGCTGATTGCACAATTTTACAACACGCCGACTATGTTTGGAAGACGACGGTCGATAACGTCTCGACTTAATCAACGGCTTATAGTAAAAATAGCATGAAAAACGATTACGTAACTAAAAAATAATGAAAGAAATAGAGACAATTAAATTTGTCAAAAGATTAGTAAGATCGATGAAGTTTTTGATTTGTTATAAGACTTAGGGAGCATTAAAACGACTTTCCTCTTTAATTTTCGCGAAAGGGTTTACGAGTTCGGCTCGTCGAGACTATTTTCATCAACCGACGAGCCGATGAATAATCGTTATTGAGCAACTTCGCAAATGATTAACGGCTCTTCGCTGAAACTTGAATCGTTCGTCGTAGCTTCCGTTTTGCAGTCGGGCGAGAGAGACACGAGCTTCGCATTATTTCGTCGCACCGTTTTCCATTCACACTTTTCTTTTCTTTTTGTTCTACGTCTACGTAACACACGACACTGCCGTCGATTTTCTGGGCTCAGTGTCCGCACCTTGTTTTTCTTCGCATTAACGTGCGCGCGATGTCTTTTTACTGTCTTCAATCTCTCTGCTCTCTTCGTTTAATTCTGTCACGAAATCTCTGTCGAACTTAATGGTAATCTAAAAACTTTGGATTATTCGCATTTTGACTATTGTGTTAATACGGCTTGTGACTACTCACTTTATTCTCACACGAAGCGCGTCAGAATAACAGAATAACATCACTTCTGAAAACATATGTTAGGTGTCCGATTATGATAAATTATTATATATCGCTTCACAACGTGCACTATTATTTTCTTTCTACTCATTTTTTCTACTCTTTAAAAAAAAAAAACCGCATATCGTCTGATGCTTGTTTCAATTGTGGAAATTTGTATTTCTATTATTTCCTACTATGGCATTATTTTCGATCTATCGCGCGAATGTCTATGTATCTATATTATCATTCCTGGACTCGAGAGATTGTTTCAAATTTCGCAGTGGTGCTCAAGCTCGAAAGTCATTCCAGACGATTTGAGAGCTCGCTTTCATCGCTCGAAACTTGAAACAGTCTTTCACGCCACTGCAGGACAGCACACTTCGTAACAATTTGATCTAGCTTCCACACCAGTTTCACTCCTAGACTCGTTCCCACCCTCATACTTCATCCATCGTTCGCTCAAGTCATCTGCGCGAGACAGACTTCGTACTTGTTCGCAAAGTTACGATAACATCCGTTACAACATGTAGCAATATATACGGTGACGTAAAAGAAAAAAAAAACAAGGTAAAATCACGAGCGCAACAGACACTTGGAACTTGCCTCTTGTGTCTGCTGTCTGTGAAATTACATTTTTCAAGGAGTAACTTGAATTTCAACAGCTAGCGTGAAGTCCATTCTGAACCAGTATCATAAGAGGATCAACATTCTCGAGGGGGAGAAGTACGACCTTGAGTACGAAGTCGCCAAGAAGGATATGGAGGTCGAAAAAGTTTTTTCGTGACAAACAAAAGAGCGCGACGCTGCGATTAACGCCAATACCAATTACCTCTTTTTCTGTTCGTTTTCTTTTTTTTCTTCTCTCTCTCTCTCTCTCTGTCTTTTTTTTCCACGCGCGAAGCACATCTCGCTGTATCTAGCGACTGTTCCGATTTGCATACTTATAAGCTATCCGTAATAATAATTAGGCGTAGACGCGTCGAGGCTGAGTATTCACCTAGCAGCAGCTCTAACGTAGTATCCCACGCGACTTGTAGAATCGCTCAACGTAGATCTGTCTCACAATCAGTAATATAATTTTCTCGCAGGCGCCATGAGTAGACAGAATTTTGTTCAATTATTTGCGAGTAGGCATCACCCGACTGAAAACCTTTCAACGCCCCCGTATTTCTCACCCTTCCCCACAATTTCCTCCCGTCGAATTTCCCCATTTCCGTTACTCCCGTGTCAGGTTAACGATCACGCAATTGTCAGCTTCGTGCTTCTCGCTTCCAACGCGAAAGACTCATTTCTTTTCTATCTCTCCTTATGATAATTACATTTCCTCACGAATGATCCTTCGTACTATTAACGTAAGACATCACAAAAAATCGCAGATCGTCAAATACGCACATTATTTCTTTATCGTTAAGCATGAATTTATCTAAAATAAATTATTACAAAGCAAGTTGTTGATATTGATATTTTAAAAATAATTATCGTATCAATGTCAATGAATTGAATCGATAAATCGAACAGCATTTCAAATTTAATATTTTTTATTATATCGTAATTATCAATACAATTCTTTTTCTTATTTTTAAAAATACATATAATTCCAGGACTATATTATAATCAATCGCGAGTTAATTTTTAAGAGCCGACGGCAGGGAATGACAAAACACTCAGTGGACTCAATTTTGCCTTTTTTCTCCATTAACTTTTTGTTCTTTTAGCCGAGCTGCAGACGATCTGTTCGGCATATTGGAACAGACTATACTCACTCGAGGGCGATAAGTATGACCTCGAGAGGCAAATTAAGTTGAAAGAGTTCGAGGTAATTACGATCGGCTTGCCTAAAGACGAAAGAGCCTGTCGAGTCACCTGCATAGATTATTTTTGTCCAGTCCCCATCACCCCTCTTATCCACGTGATTTTTTAACTCCGCCACCACGTGCTTGACCGAGCGACACCCTTGGTCGAACGGTTTTCGAAGGCGTTTCTGGTTGACGGGTCTTTGAACCTTCGGTTCGAGCACGTTTGCACGTCTCTTAGATAGGGAAATGTTCGCGAGACACTAATGTTCCAAACTCTCGATGAGACTTTGAGGACAGTTTGACGGAACGTAACCAACATTAACTGCATTCGCTGCAATGGACCTAACGTCCTTTTGTTTCTATTTTTACTTGCGTCCGTTGCAGCCGCGGTGTTACTTCGTGTTACTTCGACGAGACTAGATCGTATCGAAGAGAGTATTCGCGAGCATGAGAAACGTAAGCAATCTCGTTTTCACTTAATCTGTCGTCTTGTTCGATCGTTTTAACAATATGGACTTTAGATATAGAAAAATGTAAAAAAAACGAGCAACGGTGGATAATTAGCTTAGCAACGAGCAGTTTGTAGGTACTCGTGCGATATCGCTAACACGACGTCGTCGTGTCGGGTGATTTTCCCTTATTTTTCCATTCACGCCACTTCCGATCACGTTCAGGATAGTCCGGGACGTGCGAATGGTCGAGGGATCGAAGTCTCGAAGGTGTTCAGTCGAGGCCGCGGCGGCGCCGTGTATCCTCGTGATGCACTCGTAAAGCCGACGGAACAGAACAATCTCTCCAATTTCACGGAGAGGAAAAGATTTCCGAGCGCATCGCGCGCCGAAGGAAACACCTCTGATTTTTCCCAATGTGCCGCGCGATTAGGCATTCGAGTGCCGCGCAACTTTTATTACCGCGCACGCGAAGCGAGAGAGGGACCGCCAATTTACTCGAGTCGGAAGGATTTCGGAAGTTTTGCTTATTACGCGATCAAGGTTTCTCTCATTGAGATTCCAACAACGTTCGCAGTACAGTATTAGTATTCGGCCCGCGCGGTTTATATTCTCTGCTAAAATATGTAAAGCTGGATTCAGTTAGCTTCTATATAGAACGAAAGGAATTATCGTATCTCTCGCTCGTGTAATAGGTTTATTTATTTTAGATACGATAATGCAATTTCGTGTTGCAGATTGCAAATGTACATCGCTCGTGTAATAAATTTATTTATTTCAGAAATGATAATGCAATTATTGCAAATATAGATTTCCGAAAATTTTTAATGATTATTTATAAAATATTTTGTAACTTTATCATTTGGAAAGTTTTTAATAAATTTTTATTACATCTTTAGCTATTTATTATATTAATATTTTGCAATTTTATTATTTTTTGGAGAATCAAGTTTTACAAATTCATGCCACATTACAACGCAATGTTATTTAATTCTGTGAAAATTTGGTAATTGAATATGATTATTTCAACGAGTTTCATTTTTCCGCGATACGAGATTCGTAAATGATCCTAACACATCGCGCGAGATCGGTCACGCGCTGTCTGTCCCTCGCTCCGTCTGTAGCCCATCGCTGTCAGAAAAGCAAACATATCGAAAAACCAAAGATTTCTGAGAGACTCTCCGTATTCTTTGTAGTGGAGTTGAAGCAGATTTGCCACATGTATCACGAACGCGTCTACCTTTGTGAGGGTCAGAAGTGGGATTTGGAGCGTGAAGTTCGGAAAAGGGACTACGAGGTACAGGAAAAGTGACAAAAAAAAATGCAGCGACAACGGCGAACAATGCGAGGAGAAAGAGAGCAACCATCAAATCGCACGTCTCTTTTGATCATTTCCCCCCGCCGGCCCCCGCGTATCAAACAAGGGCATTACCCTTTCTCACCCCGTCTCTCTCTTCGCGTTGTCTCTCGTTTTCCGACTACACTTCCCCTCTTCTGTACATATGTTTCTCTTTCGATTGTTGTTCTCTCTCTTTCACGATGTTTTTTCTCGGAGAAAAACATTTGCGGCGCGAACGCAGATACGCTCCGGGGCGCGGACCGATGGGGAAAGTTCCCACGAAGGAGATGCGCACGGAAGAGTCTATCACAACAACATTTTGTCACCCCCCCAACCCCTTGGATCTTTGTAATCTTGATCAGTCCTGTCTCGATGATATATAACCAACGATCCACGACAATCTGATTTTTTGAATGCGATCTTTTTGCGACGCTTAATGGACGAGCGCCGCGAACGACGGCGAGAGTTTTTCTCTTTTTCGCGTGTATATGAAGTGCCGCAACGGGAACCATTTTTGTCGGTCGCATATTTTTGCTCGATCTTTGTTTTCTCTTGCTCTCACTCTTTCTTTCTTTCTTTCTTTTTTTTTTTTGTTTTGTCTCTCATCGCGTAACGTGCCGTGAACTTTCTCAACCCGCCTGTTCACTTCTGTACGTCTATCTTCGCTGTCTGGCTAAGCGCAACACTGTATCCACTCGCTCTCTTATAACGTGTCTACTTGTCACAAGTCTATACTGTCTCTCTATTATCTAACCATAACGCAAATATATCTCTCTGAGCTTTCTACTAACTCGCCAACAAAAAAGAAAAAAAAAAAAACATTAAAAAAAAACAAGCTTCACTCTCGAGTCAGGGCTGGGCAAGCTTATAGAGAAGACGCCATTGTTGTGTTACTCTCGTAACTATATACTATACTCTCCTGCATATATTTTTCTCGAGTTTGCAGCATAACCGTCCACATATTGATTCATGCGATTGCCGATCGCAGATTGAGAACGTTAACGTTGCGTATCGCGCGCCGAGAAAAATAATCGTGAAACGAGAAGGGCGCACGATTTCGCAGTGATAGAAGCAGTTGCCCTAGATTTGTTGCCAAAAAAAAAAAAAAGTACGCTATCGAAGAAAGTACATCGCCCACGGGGATCATCGAAAGGGATCCCGCCTAGTCTCACGCGAGAACTAAACTGACACTGTGTGCCTGAGACTACGCGCGCGTGTGTGTGCGCGTGTGCGTGCGTGCGTGCGTAGATATGCGGTGCAAAATCAGAAAAGGAAATCGAAGAAAGAAACAATAGCAGATCGAGAAAACGATAATACATCGATTACGATGTCTTCCTCTTGTCTTTTTTTTCGTCTCTTGTCTATTTCACGTCTCTCTCTCTCTCTCTCTTTCTCTCTTTCTCTGTCTGTCTCTCTCTCTCTCTCTCTTTTGCTTATTCTGTCCCGTTGCCTTTAACACACAGCAGGAATATATCTCCGCCAAACCAATTTGCTTTATCGCATGCATGGCTTTTCTAACTAATAAACTGTTTAAGATGTGCGATATACATGCATAATGAACACGGGTTAATTAGCGCTGTTGAGCACGGTAACAGGATTATGAGAAAATGGGTGAATGGCTTCATTATTGTGTTGATTAATTTCATGTAATTGAGGATTTGATCGATCACTACCTGATATTTCGGAGCTCTACGTGATTAACGATAGATTCGCATTTTGCTGAATACCCGTTGCTGGAGTCATGTATCTCGTCACGCAAATTAATCGCTGCCAAACAGGCAATCCCGTTGTTATATTAATATATTTGGAGAACGTACATGCAATTAGATAATATTCACGAATAATAAAGTGACATAAATTACATTTCTTTCTTCTCGACTTTTTTTCTCGATCAAGACCGTTGCAAATCCGAAATTTATTCCACGATGATTATTTAAATACGAATTACTTGACGTCATGTCGGCTTTGAAAAAATGAAATATAGTAGTGTAACGTCAATCGCAGCAACATTTTAATTATCGCTGTGGAATAACTTGAGCGGTATACCGATTAAAAGCGCACGATAATAATGATTTATGAAAACGAAATGATTTGAAGTTTGCAACTAACAATACGAGCACTCGCCCGTCGCCAATTTTTTTATTAATCTCGTTCCGGTTCCGGCGATTAGAAAATGATAAATATTTTTTTACGACAAGCACCGCGAGTCGATCGAGTAAATGGCGCTTAATTCATGTTTATCGCCTACACTTTAGTAGTCACGCGATAAGAAGTATGGCACTTCATATTCGTCACGAAGAAAGAAAAATAAGCCACTTCTCGCGTCTCAATTGTTCTTATCTTATTTTTAATAGTAAGTAGCACCACGCAAACTTTTTTAATGCGATTTCTAACATTAAAAAAAAGAAAAACGTGATAAAGTACCCTCGCTACTTGCAAAATCATAAACGTTTTGCGATACTCGCAAGATCGCATCGAGAAAAGCATTACCTCGACGATGGGTACACAGATACTCGGCAAATCATTTTCGTTCGACTTCGGAAAACGATTATCGTATACGCCCTTCAGACGTCCCGAAAAGTCACAGAGTTGGTTGTCTCTTCCTGCCACGCTTTTCTTTTCTTCTACATTCTTAAAAACTCTCACAAAGGTGGACTGGCTCAAGAATGGATTAAAAGATCACGAGACCGAAGTGCCATGCTGTGAAAATCTTCAGACCGCAATCCTCCCCTCTTGTGTTTTCTTTTTGTTCGACTGATCGAACCCGCCCTCTCGCCCCTTCGATTGACCCTTGTGAGACGGACAGTAAATGTGTATATGGAATCGCGAGAGAGACGTTGGATTAAACACGTACAGGTGTCTACGGTGTCCTTAAAGCGAAACATAATTGATTTTGCACCGACTCGCACGCACCACCGTCTGTCAGTGTCCTCTTGTCATGGTGTTCAATTAGGCTGTAAATAGCGGGCTCCACTTGGCAGAACTCTGTTCTCCTTTCGCGACAAAATTTTTTGCAAACAAGAATAATCTGTTTTTCATCATTTTTGAGAACGCTACGTTCGCTGCAAATCCATAACCGATTTTGCTGAAAATTTTTGGTGTAAATAATTATGTGAATTTACAAAGTGTATTATGCATTTCCGGTAATGAATTTCTTGCAGTGTTTGAAACGATTTTAATTTATTCACATCGGTGCTTCGAAACCGTTTGTTATCTTGAAATAATTGGAGCGTGGTGTTATATTAACGTGTCATTATTAAGCGAGTATAAAACAGTCAATGAAATCGACCGAGTATCGATTTCGAGGGTTTAGTTTCACGCTTCGAGTGAGAGGAACAGAACTCTGGCAGTCTAGAAAACGGATTGTAGTGGATTTTGTAATTTTTTTCTCATCATCTACGGCGGACAAAAGGGCTGATCGCGACCAGCCAGTCCCCAGATTGGCCAGAATGAAATTCACACCCTATCGTACCCAATCCCTCACTTTCCTTTCTCCTTCTATCTTGTGTCGCTCCCACTTTCTCGTAATTTGCGCGAGGAGGAGAATAAGAAAAAAAAGAGGACAAAACGGTCGAACGTTTCCTACGAAGAAAAGAGGGGAATCCGACAAGTGGCTTTCAAACAAAGCCTCGCTCTTAAAGAAGTTCCACAAAGGAAGAATAATCAATGTGTCACTCGTAAGAGCGATAAAAATATTTTCAGAAATGGAGACTTTATACGCTGACAACCACGGCGATATAAATCGACTGGAAATTGCATTTAGATTTAATCTGTTCCGAGATTCTGCGTACGTAATGCAGCAAATTCGACGATTTTTCTACTCCTTGCATGAGTTTCTGCGACGGATTACACAGATATCCGTTCAATCCTTCGTGGAAATAATTCCACAATTTCTACTGTCAATCTGTTGCATATATATGTTTTCCATCAGATTTTAAAATACCTTGTTGCACAAATCATGAAAATTATTATTGTCATAACAATTTATGAAATTTCTTTCTATCGCTATAAAATTGTAATCCACGATGTTTTCAAATTCTACATATATTGTATTTTTTTCTTTCTTTTTTAATGCTAAAAAATAAACGGATAAAGTGATTTTAACCGCAATGTTTACATCATGACAGTTCTATGTGGACTATTATTTTATCGCGCAGTTATTATATTTATAATATATAAACTCTCTTATGGTAATTAAATTAAGAAATAGATTTTCATTTTTCACAAAACATATTTTTGGAAAATGTGTGCTACACGCAACACAAATTTCGTAATAGTGAGATTATTTCTCCGCAATAGTTCTTTTTTTGTTATTATTTATTATACAGTTTTGTTTACCTCCCCCTCCGTTTTCCCGTTATCCGCCTTCCATCGCGAAACCGCTCCTCTATTCCATCTCCGTCACCCGCTATCGCAGTTAATCTGCAAGCCAATTTACTGTCAATCTCGATTCGTCGAGTGGCTCGCCAACTGAATATCTGCGCGCTTGCTCAACATATGTAACTTTTCCTCTCTCTTTCTCTCTTGCCTGCTTTTGCCACGCAGGACGCATACTGATACGATTTGATTCGCTTGTTCGTTTTTTTTTTCGATTAACCGTTTGCGGCTGGATTGTCATGTCGTTCACGTGAGTACACTAATCCGCGTTTCATACGATGTTTCTTTGCAGTATACAAGAACCATTATTGTACAGCTTTCTTTTTCAAAAAACTTTCTTTTGTAAATATAAAAAATTAGATATCTAGAATACTTTGTATATTTGTTGTAAAATGTCATTATAATGAAATATTGTCGCATTGCAAATAAATATCACATTGTGCAATGGACATATTCGAGACCGTTGATTTTTTCCCTCTTTTATACATAAACACAAACGCGCATGAATAAATTATGCCACAATATCAAATGCCATGAATATTAATAGAAATATTCGATGCGTACAGATCTCGGACTTGAACAGCCAGGTCAATGATCTCCGAGGTAAATTGTAAGTATTCTCTTTTTCATATATCATAACATATCATATATCACAAAGAATTTAAATTAAAAACGAATTAAATCGACATAATTTCTCGTTAGAACAATCGAGACTCGAATATATTTTATCGTACAATATTCTCTTATCTTAGCATGAAACCGACCCTGAAGAAGGTATCTAAATACGAGAACAAGTTCGCCAAGCTCCAGAAGAAAGCCGCCGAGTTTAATTTCCGTAATCAACTGAAACAAGTCAAGAAGAAGGAATTCACCCTGGAGGAAGAGGACAAAGAGGTAAGGACGATCGTTATCGATAGAATTCGTCTAGGAGACGTGACTTTTTTCCGTAAAATTGTTTTTTTCTCTGCCCGTCAAAGATCTACTCAAGCGTTTTTTGAATTTATCAAAATGAGAACTTTGCAGGAATATAAATCAAAACTTTTTACTTTTATAATTTTTCCTACTTATCACGATAACATTTGATGTAATTTTTATTTCAAATTTATCACGTCCGTGCATCTTATATTTCTGCATATTGAATTTCGATTGATAAGTTCCTTGACAATTTTTGAGTTTTGCAATGGGACGCTCAATTTTTATGACAACGCGACGGGTAATCAGTGTAGTAGTATAGTCGGTGTTTTATCAGTGGAAACAGTTTTTGTGACCCTGGTTTTCTTTTTGTGTACAAAACCCAATTGGCAGGTTTTCTTCGTATTAGTAGTTTTTTGTCCATAATACGTGTCCAATTTAGGAGATTCGCGGCATGTGCTCTTGTTTGCATTTCGATATTATTACCATGAAATATTTATCATAATACATTTCCCCGGAGAGAAACACTATTTTATCAGCTAATTTGGAAACTAAATTTCCCGAAAACCTCGAACACAATAGATAATCGCGCAGTAATTAATCATCGGTTCATCGAACCGCGATACTTTCAGTTAAATATGCGTGGCTGTTGTCATTTCGAGACTACTGAATTTATGCGAAATCGATTGGCCGCAAAATGTATCGCGACACTCAATGACCGTAATAGTTTAAAGTTTAAACAATAAATATCGATTAGTAGACAAGTGCCTTTTCTCATATCACGCGACCGCGATCTCCTTAAAAGGACAGTCTGTAGATCTTTTCTCGTATATGTACGTATCTGTACTCGTGGTAGTAGTAGCAGTAGTTGATTAGGCAATTTGTGTTGTTCTTCACAGCCAAAGAAGTCGGAGAAAGCAGAATGGCAGACGAAGAAGTAGATTTAATATAAGAAAGTAAAACAGTATAAACGCAAAATATCAATAAAACATAAAGATTGTTACTACGAAAGGAAAAAAAAAACATCGAGAATAAACGAAAAAGATAAAAAACTCCTATACACACGCATACATACATTCGAGGCGAATACACTAACATGATCATGTTTATATATTCGACTTAACACGTACGCGCGAAAATGAGCCGCGAAAAAGCGCATGAAAGAGAAGAGAAAACAAAAAAACAAACAAAAAAACACACAAATGCGTAAAAACGCGTAGTAGACTTTTGATACCGTTTCTATTGACGTCTCGCGTGTTCGCCAGCGCGTTTTCGCCGTCACGTTCGTTTGAATTGTTGGCAAACTAGTTCGTTAGCGCTACAGAACAAATTAACGAGTAAGGACTGAAAATTGCACAAACAGTCCTAGGAGTTAACCGATATATTTGATTATCCCTCTTCCCGGACTAGACGGTCGAAACGAGCGACATAGAGAGAAGCTGACCCTGCGTAAATATTCACATACTACTGTTACACATAAAGCGACAAGTTGTGGCAATAAACGAAGAAAGCGCACGTGAATAAGTCAGACTTTTCCTCGTGTGTATCCGATTCTTTTGTCACGATATCCCTCATCGGCAGATTTTTCCCCTGTTTTCTCCACACTTTTCCCTTATTTTTGCGGTTTAGTCTTTTTATTTCTGGTGTATTCGCCCGCTGCGACGGGTCACTTTTGATCTTTATTTTCTTTTCTATTTGTCTTTGCGCGTCTATTGGATACGAAACTCGATAACTCAAACTGACCCAATTCCCGATTCGTTCAACGTAATGGAAACGTGACGCTGTGTATGAGAATGTTAATGTGATCGCACTTTACGATATATTTTATGCAAAATCAGATACGATTTTCGTTCGGGCGTGCTCGTATTTCCTTGTCGTGTGATAAGAGAAATTCTTCTAGACGATGTTACGCGAGCGCGTATTTCAAATATTCGATAAGGAAAAAGGTCATGTGTTATCGAAGATCGTACCGTTCCTCTCTCTCTCGTAAAACTTCACTAATTTTCTTTCTCTGAAGCATCGTTTAATTTCTTTTATCTCATTTTTTTCCGACACGACGATTAGAGTACTGTTAAATTTGTTTTCCGTATTCGTATCCTTTTTTATCTCGCGTTTTCTCTATTTCCCATTTCACTTGACGTAATTTCGTAAAGATTTTCGCGATAGAGCGTAACCCGACGCGAACTAAATAAAATATAAGATTAAGAGGGGCACAAAAAGGTGAGAATGGCTTGTGAAGTATATTTGAAGCTCACAGTTCCACTTTTATTTCGTACATAATGGCAGAAGCGCTTTACTCACACATGCCTGCCCACTTCGCGTTTTTCTACTCTTCACTATCTAATTATACTGTTGCCTACCGTTCTTTCGCACACTCGCCTCGTTTATCTTCTTTTTACACGTGTTAATTGCCGCGCACTTTCCCACGCAAAATCGTTCGCCCGATAAATGTTTGTCGCGTGCTATGCAAAAGGTTAGAAAAAAAAAAAATATTAAATAGAAAAATACAAGCTCGCCTAAGAAAAAACAAACAAAATCTGAAACACTCACTCTAAAACTAAACTCGTTTGTTTACGCAATTGAAGCTCTTTCGCAGCTTGCCTTATTGCCATCAGTCGGCTGCCATGCTTCCAGGCTGTATATGTGTAGAATTTGTTGTCTGTTCACGGTCGAGCACGCACTTTGACGTCTCTTTCGTTATCTCTCAGTAATTTACGATATTTGCATAATAATATATAAAAAAAAAAGTTTCCACAATATTTTCCGTGATCAATATGCGTGTCGATCGCGATGTCGATCGTGCCTTACTTTCGTAAGCCACGAACGATGCGCTAAGTAAAATTTAATTGTACGCTTAATCAATGTCTACGTCTTATCTGTTGACTAATAATGTTGCTCTTGCATTATGTTTGCAGAACGCGTCAAAAGATAAGGTAAAATTTTAATAACCAACTTGTGGCTCGGCATGCTTGCGTAGGAGAGAATGATATAATGTGTGCGATAGATGAGAATAGATAGAAAAAGAAAATAGATAATTTGTGTGAGTGTGTGAAAGTGAGAGAATGGATAGAAGATAGGATAGAAGAGAAGCTTTTTCTCCGATTTTAACAGCTATTCAATGCAAATTTTACTTCAATAATTTGTTCCGCATTGTACTCGTGATTTTGTTTAGACGTCGGCATTTTCAGCAATGTTGCAAACCATTGTTTCATCACAATGTTTATTAATTTTTTTCCTTTTGTTATTTCGGGGATTGTTTTGTCGTTTTTTTTTTATTTTCATCAATAACCTGCACGGCTTTGTAGATATGTTCGAAGACCGAGCCATACCAGACGACGTTTTTTTCATAACGTTGAGAGAACTTTTTGGTAGTGAAAGACACGCGGAATTGGCGACCTCGGAAGCTGGACGAAAAAATTCGCAATTGAATGGTATATGGCAACGCGGTCCACCGACGGCCAACACGAAGCAATTTTTGTCTAGAACGTTTTCTCTTGATTTTTGGCATTCAGTTCTCCCGACTGAATAGCCCTTTCCGGAAATTTTGACCTCTCCATCTCAAGCACCGTCTGCCTGCTTTGCGAACGTTCACCCCGGCACTGCAGTGTGCGAGTCTAATTTCGAAACGTGTAACAAGATTCCCACTATCTGATGCAACATTTTCTCGATTTTGCAGAAGAAACCCGACTGGTCGAAGAAGGGCGAGGAAAAGAAGGTAAAGGAGGAAGAAGCGGCGCCACCGACACCGGTGGAAGCATGAGAGAATTGAAAATCTCGTTCACGATGTTCCTGAGAGAGACACAGGATCTGTCCGTCATCGTCAATAACCGCTCGATGCAGGAACTCCAAAGAACTTCCTCTATATTTTTTAACGATCTATTCATTAATTTAATGTGTCCTGTTCTGTCGTGAGTTGCACGCAAAAAAGAAAAAAAAAAACTTGCTCGTCTGTCTGTCTGTTATGATTGCTCGTACCATCCCAGATTGTATCGAAATTTTTTGACATGCAATATCCGATCTGTATCGCTATTCTACTCGTGTCTGTCCCATCTTTTTTATGGACGTGATGTATTTTTTTTATAATGGACCTTGTAAATCACCTTGTACAACTCTGTTGCGTGCAAGATCCACTAAAAAAAAATAAAATTTGTCTTTCTGCAACCGTTGCGAGGGGAGAGATGTAATTGTAAACAGAATAATGGGGGGAAATGTTACTTAAGATTTATTGTAAAGCAAAATATTTAACGATACTTAAAACCTCTGTATGTGATCATTTCTCTACGTTTTTTTTCATATTCCCTCTATCTTGTAACAATCTTTGTTTTAACCTATCATACGTATAACAAAAAATTATGTACGATGTACTTCATACACGATAGTAATTATTTATCGTTGTTTATGCATTTCTCATTATACAAACAATGCAGTAAAAAATTGACTAATTTATTGTTAGGAAAACGGATATTATTACGAAACATGAAATAACATCTGTTTAATAATTCATATATTTGTCATTTTTATATTTATTATAATCTAATTGAATATATATGATTCAAGTTAAAACAATAATAGTAACAATAAATTAAATGGAAATAGTATAAATTAATTAAAAATATTTAGTTTTTGCCTTTTTTTATTTTGGTAGTTTTTAACTGTAAAAATCATAAAATATTTTGGCGCAGCACAGTTAATATATTATATTTGTATAAAAAAATTTTCGAATATCTCCGGCCGTTACTACTGCATTGATCGATAAGAATAATGCCGAAAGCTTTTTAATTTGCAGCTAAGCCAATATTCAGAGATACGGTAGGTATGTCACTAACCGGATTTCGCTTCATAACCATTCGCTATTGAGTGACGTTTTCGACACTGCTTCATCACGTTCGCTATGAAACACATGCTCTTATATGCTCTGACATTTTTTATCTTTAGTGATTTATGGATTTATTCATTTCCCTCTGTTTTCGAGAAGTATTTAGCGTATCGGTATTTTACAAAATGATATATCGACGTGCGATTTCGATTAATGACATGTTTTGAATATGTTATCAATATTTTTTATTAGATCTCATTTTAATCAAATAATGGATTATATTTAAATTTCTGAAAAAGTTCCAGATATTCCAATATAATTAAAAGTATCGCAATGTTATGTTATAATCTCTTCTATATATATAAATTTTTCAAATCGCGTATTAGCTTAATGTTCAACGCTTACAATCGCATCGCAGTTTCTTTCATCCGTATTTATTATTAATTATCGCGCCAATTTGCGTTTCGATAATGGACGTTGATGTATCCAATTAAACAACATTTCCAACAAAGCTCCATTATATCAACTCTGGACAAACGTCGAGTTTCCTTTTTCATTCGATCGCCAGTTACATGTGTCGATTTTCAATCTCCCTGTTTATTTCGTGATTCATCGATCGTTTTGCACATACTGGCGTAAACCTACCCTCCGCTACCGCGTCGTTCGACATGCGTTCCACGCATTCGACCGTATTTATAAACGTATCGGGTGTCGCGCATATTGTTTAATTATCTTGACAATATTCGCGATCATAATGGCTGCGATGATTTATGACGCAAAACGCCGTCAACGAAGCCGGGGGAAGCGCGCGCAGCGTATCGTAAGCTCATGGTCGAACGTTGCATAAAGCGTTATTATCGGGAAGCGGGACAAATGACGTATCTATAAACGGCGGTTTAATGCGAGTACATTTGCGAAACATACGCGCTGACCGTTAATCATACAATTTAATACGCGTGTCAGCGACGGCTCGCCCAGCTGCACGCGCAATTCTGTTTTGTCTATGGAAGCACTTTCTATGACGATCCGCGCGACGGAACAAGCTCGTTCCGGTTGTCAATCGCATGTTAAAATATCTCACGTCACTTTCAATTTTATCTTCTATTTCTTTATTTCGCAAAAAAAAAAAAAAAAAAAATCTCGACGATGTTAAAAAAAGCTTCATTATTCTCAATCCACTTGCTGTCATTTCCTACGTACATTTCTTTTATATCAAATGTTTTCGAAACGATACATGTTACGAATGCTGTCAGACGGTAAATGTACTTCATATAAAAACATATTTCATATGTAGGAGGGCGAACAAGCCGAAGCGCCCGCGGCGGAACCACCGCCACCGGAACCGACCCCGACACCAGAACCACCACCGGCTCCGGCTCCGGCTCCTGTACCACCGCCAGCAGAACCCGCACCAGCTCCCGCACCATCACCGGCGCCTCCAGCTGAAGGTGCTCCAGCAGTTCCACCCGTGGAAGGTGCTCCACCGGCAGAAGGAGCTGCGACAGCACCTGGTGCCGGTAAATATTTAAATCTCGAAATATTTCGAAATACGCGGTATCTCTCGCAATCACATTCCTACGCCGGCTTGTTTATTTATTTTAAAAAAGATTAGTTTAGATTTTATAAATAATCTTGTCTGCATAATAAATTATATGTGATATTTTGAATTAATTTTTTTATCACCAACTTGAATAAATTTTTCTTCACCGAAAGCTTGACACAAATGCAATCTTTCTTATTAACTTTCTATTTTTCAATGTCTGTCTAATTAAGCAAATTAATCGAAGCAAATATAAATTATTTGGTAAATTTGCAGAAGGTGCGCCTGCAGCAGCTCCAGCAGAAGGCGTCGCACCGCCTACGGAAGGTGGTGCGCCGCCTGCGGAAGGAACTGTGCCGCCTGCGGAAGGAACTGCGCCACCGACAGAAGGAGCCGCACCTGCGGAAGGAGCGGCACCGCCAGCCGAAGGTGCTCCCGCTGACGGAGCACCTCCAGCCGAAGGAGCACCCGCTGTTCCCGCCGAAGGCGCACCCGCAGAAGGAGCACCCGCTGCGCCTCCAGCGGAAGGTTAATTTTACCCTTTTTTCATTCGTTTTTTTAAATTAGTAAAATATTAGATTTATTATTCTTAAGAAAATTGCACGTCAAATTTGCAGAAAATTTAAAATAAATCTAAATTTCATATTAACTTTTTAACTGCAAACATCATACATATATATGTACCTAGTACAGATATATGCACAGCAAACATTGATATATTTTCAGTCAAAGCAAGTAAAATTTTAAATGAATAATCGGCTGTTCGCTGTTAATTTATAACATCGTTATTTTATGCTGATTAATATAAAAAAAATAATAATAAATCAAGATAATATTTTGTTCATTAGTATATTCGAAAAAGTGTTTGTATGCCGTTAAAAGGTCGACGTCGATCAATCATCGTCAATTATAATTACGTTTGCTTTTAATTTTCTAAACCTAAAGAAATACTCTACAAATATACTCTAGAAATGAATACTCTAGAAATAAATTGTGATTAATTTGTAATATGTAACAGAAATCTTAGTTTTACAATAAAGTAAGAAAATAAAATTTGCAGGTGCACCAGCAGCAGCACCACCAGCGGAAGGAGCTCCTGCGGCTCAGCCAGCGGAAGGAGCTCCTCCAGCCGAAGGCGCTGCTCCTCCTGCAGCTCCAGTGGAAGGCGCACCAGCTGCACCTCCCGATGGAGCCGCACCTGCAGCCGTGCCCGCAGATGCGACCCCAGCAGCTCCAGCGGAAGCTGCACCTGCGCCCGTCGAAAGTACGTGAAATATTTTGTGCATCGTTGAACTCATATTGCTTTTCTAGGTAACATTGCGACCTATTTTTTTTTAATCTGACGCTTTAAACTTTTTGCGTAAACAACACTCGCAATCGTTTTTTTATCTAAATTTTTTGTTTTTGAAACCCAACATTTTGCCACACGGTTTTATATTTCACGAAAAAAAGCACGGGAACGAGTAGTATTTTTCGATTGCCAGCTCTATGTAATCTGGCAAAATTGACTTCTATTAATTTTGCGCTTTTCAACTTAATTTTTAGCTAAACTAGTTTTGATATTGCGAGTTACAATCCGCATCAGAGGCAATCCCGCGCTAAAGAGCGCTAAATACATCATGAACGGTATGTCAAAACCATCAAGTACGGCAGTACTAAAAAAAAACATGCAAAAGACTAAAAAATCTAATCTAGCGCCATTGAGGCATGTCACAGGCAGACTAATTATTGCGAACTAATTACGCAATAATATTATCAGACATTCATCTATAACAGCAGACACCCATTCAATTTCGGAAGAAGATCGACGAGAGCCACTTCTCTTCAACTACCGGCGACTTTATCATTAGTCCTAGTTTGCAATTTTGCACTTCTGCCCTAGCTCTCTGCTCTCTCTCCTGGTGTTAATATATTCTGTCTCTTTTTTTTACATAGCGCCCGCATCGTAACTTGGCCGGAAGTGGAAGAGGAGGCGAAGGGTTACCCTGCCGCGTACTTTCCTCTCGTTGACGTCAAACTTCGCGGAAACATCTACACGGCCAACAGTAAAGTAACGGGAACCGCGCCATATACACGACATCGCGACCCACGCTTTTCTCGACATCATCATCATCATCATCATTATTGCCAGCGTCATTACCGTCATCTCTCGCCGCCGACGACGTCTACATCGCTCATGCCTTGCATATTCATCACTCATGCATCACGAAAACTCGCAGGAGGTTCAAAGAAAAAGGAAAGAAAGAAAGAAAAAAAAATATATTAAAACATATGCACGAGAAAGGGTCGCGTGTCTCGAACATCTCGCGGTCGAGGGACTCATATTTTGCCTTCTATCCGTTATGAGAAACACGAATCC